GGAGGTGTTGTGGGGATGGTGATGGACAGGGATGGAAATATAATGGGTGGCATTGGGTGGCAAGATTTGGGGAGAGATAATGAGGCAACTCAGCAGGCTAAGTTGCGGGCTAAATAAATTGGGGTGATTACCCCATGGACCTAACTGTGAGCAATCAGATTAGACACTACATGTTTGAGTCCTCCCACCAGATCCTTTTCCATCCCACTCTACTATGTTGTCTATTTTTTCTGAGGAATTAAGGGTTACCCCACCCTCCCCACTCCCATCCCTTTAACCCCACCTCCTACTGTAATAGATCAGCAACCCAAGGCAGGAACCTGTCTAAACCAGAAGAAAGCCCTCTCAGCTCACCCCAGCCTCACTCCACTTCCCACTTCCATCCCTGCTAGCTGCTTGCAGGACTCTATCCCTGGCTTTCCCCTCGGACCTTGCAATCACAAAAGGTTCTTCGGGTGAGTGCAAGAGCCTGAGGCTGGAAAAGGCTGACTTGTCTCCCAGGCTAGGCTGGTAAGGGACCTGCAGGGAGAGCTGGGCAGACAGGTGGGAGGGGGTAGGGCTGGCTGGAGGAGGGAAACAACAAAGGAACCAAGGTACTGCCAATGACAGGACATTTGACGTGTCTTGAGTCTCCAGATAGATGCCGTGGGCTCTATCTCTATGTCCTGCCCTTTTAGAATACCCCACCAGCAGATCAAACTCAGATCTCATGAGAGTAGCAGCAGACACAGGACCAGAAGGCAATCGGGAGCTTCCGGAAATGCCACACCTGTGTGCCACAGAGTTCCCCACTGACCCTTGGTTGGGGTCCTCTTGGTTCACAAGGCATGCACTTAATAACACCTCGCCTTCTGTAATACTCTGCACCTTCTGTAATCACGCACGCACTTAATAACACCTCACCTTCTATAATACTAAGTCCTCAGAGCTCCGTGCTGTTCTGAGAGGGACGGCCACAAGTTCTTTCCCAACCCCTTCCGTTCCCTTTCTCTTCATGCCCATCCCCATGAACCTGCATCACTCCCTGGCACTGCCAAGCCAACCCTGGAAAAGGAGTTTCCCGACCATTGGCTGGAATCAGGGTGGAGAAGTTCTTAGAATCTTCCTGTCCTCCAGGGACATGTATGCTTCCAGGGACAAGCTTAGGTCATGAACATGCTCAGAACCTTTGGACAAGAGGAAAAATACTAAGAGATTTGCTTTTGACCTCTTAGGTGGCAGGGCTGCTCCCCTCAGGCAAATGCCCTTCACACCAACCATCATCGCGCCCCCTTTCCCTGGCTGGAGAGTTGGTTTCAGGTTCCTACAGGAGACACCTTTCCTTCCCTTACTCCCTATGTAACATTTTTGCTCTGCAGGCAGCTCTGCCCATTCTCTAAGCCTGGCTTAGAAGGCACTGGGAATGTCCTATAGCAAGAGACCTAGATAAGCCATGCAAGTGAGAGAGACATCTGAGGAAAATGGAAGACCTAAGGCAGACAGGAAGGAAGCACAAAAGACGAGCTCTGGGTCAGACCCATAAACCACCTCCCAAAGGCCATCATTTCATTGCACTGGAATTTTGCTTTATCAGAAGCACCTGGAAGTAAGGGAGTCATTGCCTTGGGCTTGGGAATCTAAGTGGGAGACCATATTAACTTGGGTTCGATTAATTGGAGATTACTAACTGTGGACAAAAGTTTCTTTGCACATTCAATAAAAATGGCATTTGTGTAGTAAATTCAGAGCATAAACCATATTGCTAAAGGTGGCATATTTAGTCTACCAAAAACAATACTTTTCGGGCACTTTAGACATATCTTTTTAGAAGCAGCAAGTGCATGGGCTAATTATCATCAATCTTTATGTATTTGTTAAAGAAACATTTACTGGATCTTTATGGGTGATCTTTTGTAAGAGATTAGTTTGAGGTACTACATATGTACTTGAAAATAATAAAGTTGCATTTCTTTATGAAAAAAAATGTCTTCCATAATTCAGATTTCTATACTTTATACTTGCCCCCTCCTAAGTAGTAATATTGAAATGTGTGCTGTGGCAGAACCTGGCTTGTAGGGGATGCAACAAAGAGATAGAGCAAGTGTCAGGGACAGGAGGGAAACGGTCTGGGAGCAGATGACAGCCATAGAGAAAGCTAGAGGGGAAGAAGTGAGTTTGCAAAATATATAAGAAACTATTGTAGGAGCTTCCTTCCTCTGATCCCACCCTAAGAGCCACAAAGGTTTGCCCAGGACAGGGAAGGGCCTATGAGTCTGTGAGGACCCGGATCCTCCGGGGCACTTCTGCTTTTTTCTGTTCCAGACCAAAATCAGGCCACTCTCGATCTGATGGGATGGGGAAGGAGATAATGGGCTGAGAGCCCAAGAGTCACACCAATTGAAAGTCTGTTCTGCATGCAGAGCCCTGTCCTGGGTGCTGTCTTTAAGGGACGGGGGAAAGTAGATGCAATCCTTGAAATTCACTTGAATAGTAGATATCAGAAACCGTCATGGACAGAAAGTAATGGGCAGTAGCAGGGGCACTTGCGTGCTGGGGATGGAGGGGTGGGTGGGTGGGTGTGCATTGCTCACGGGGGGCCTGGGAATGGGAGGGAGAAAGACACCAACTCTTACAACCTATGCCAGGACCTCAGAATAATGGTCAGAAGTCAATTCTTGCCCAAGTCAATTTCGGCCCCTTTATTAAGACTCTCACAGTGTCATTAATGACAGTCATAGTTAGAAGTGATTATAGGAGCCTTAACTGCAGCTCATTTGTGCCATAACTAGGCCAAACTTTTACTTGTATAGTCTCCTTTCTTCCCACCGCAGGGCCTTTATTCTTAATGGCCCCTCTGCCGGGAATGCTTTTCCCGTTATTCACATGCCAGGCTTGGTCACTTCATTCAGATTGCTCCTTAAACATTACATCCTCAGAAAGACCCTCACAGAGGACCTCAAATAAAGTAACATTCCTGGCACCTCTTTCTCTATTCTCTTTGTTTTTATTCATAAATACTTATTACCGGCTGGGCACGGTGGCTAACGCCTATAATCCCAGCACTTTGGGAGGCTGAGGTGGGCGGATCACCTGAGGTTGGGAGTTCAAGACCAGCCTGACCAACATGGAGAAATCCGGTCTCTACTAAAAATACAAAAAATTAGCCAGGCGTGGTGGTGCATGCCTGTAATCCCAGCTACTTGGGAGGCTGAGACAGGAGAATTGCTTGAACCTGGGAGGCAGAGGTGGTGGTGAGCCAAGATCGTGCCATTGCACTCCAGCCTGGGCAAGAGGAGCTAAATTCTGTCTAAAAATGGAGCTAAAAAAAATGCTTATAACCTCAAATGTAGATGGAAAGACAGCTAGATATAACATTTGGAAAGATATGCATGTAACCTACATGTATTTTTGTTGTTGGTTATTTATGCTTTTGTTTGTCTGGCTCCTCCAGCATAAGTCCCATGAAGACAGGGATTCTATTTCTTTTGTTAACACCTTTATCCTTACACCGAAAACATCTGACACACATTAAGCAATTGATAAATGTTTGCTGGATGACTGAAAGGATCCTCACAATAATGTAGAGAGAGACTGTTATCTCCAATTTACAAATGAGAAAATTGGGGCTCAGAAAGGTTAAATTATTATTCAAAGTTTCAAAGGTAGTAAGCATCAGAAGCAGGATTCAAACCTAGGTCGGTCTGACTCCAGGGCCTGCCCTCTTAATCATGCCATGCCCTGGAACTGCAAGAACAGAAAGGCTGTGGGCACAGACAGCGCCTGACTAGCCCAATGGCTCAGTGAACGGAGGAGGCTGCTGAGGGAGCCAGGAATTTGTGGATAACAAACATTTGAGCAGCAGGGGCCAGGCAGACCCGTGAGAAAAGGAGAAGACATGATCTCAAAGATACAGTAAGGGATTAAGAAAAAGATCCAAGCCGGGCACTAGATCCTGGCACTTTGGCAGGCCAAGGCGAGCGGATTGCTTGAGGTCACGAGTTTCAAGACCAGCCTGGCCAACATGGTGAAACCCTGTGTTCTACTAAAAATACAAAAATTAGCCAGGCCGGGCGCGGTGGCTCATGCCTGTAATCCCAGCACTTTGGGAGGCCGAGGTGGGTGGATCACCTGAGGTCAGGAGTTCAAGACCAGCCTGGCCATCACGGTGAAACCCCATCTTTAAAAATAAATAAATAAATAAATAAATATTTAAAAAATTAGCCAGGCATGGTTGCATGTACCTGTAATCCCAGCTGAGGCAGAAGAATCACTTGAACACAGGAGGAGGAGGCTGCAGTGAGCCGAAATTGCACCACTACACTCCAGCCTGGGTGACAGAAAAAGACTCCAACTCAAAAAAAAAAAAAAAAAAGGAAGAAAAAAATCCAAAGAGATTTTGATGGTCTGCTAGAGGATCTTAGCAAAAAGAAGAATGTAATCTGAATTACTATTGAATGTAACCTGAGAAGCTAAGGCCAACTTTTGACC